CACAGATATATAAAACTAGATTAACAGACACCGTGTCTCGTATTGAGCGTTTAGAGAGGTCTATAAAAATGTCTAGTTTCTTCCTTGTTTCCGTAACCTATATGGCTACTTCAGCTCAGTTTAAAATCGTTTTTCTTCTGATATTTTAAGCCATGATATTGATTGCCGACGTGCTTCCTTTTAGCGCTCAAGACACTATTCTTAATTTAATCTAACTTCGAAGTCAAAGATGGTTTTTAAAAAATGAAAGATAAAATAACAGTAAAAAAGAAATAAGTAAAAGAACACTTTGCCTGGGAAATAAAATAAAGATATAAAGACGAAGCAAGTAAGCGTAAAAAAAAAAACTCTTTATAAACATTTAGAAAGAGCCGAGGGATTAGATAAGTTTATTAAGAAAAGTGTCGCCGATGAGTCAAGAGAATAAAGAATAAGAACCAAGTCAGCATAAACTTTGTGTCCTAAATTGCTTCTTAAATTTAAAAAAAAAATTACTTTGTTTACGAATGTACTGAATACTTTTTGCTTCATCACCCATATACATTTTTACTCACCTTTTTTATTTAAAAAAAAAAAAATTTAGTTCCTTTTTGTTATCTATTAAGTCTTTATTTTTTTTTCATATTATTTATTTAATATATTATAGTTCCCATGTTGTGAGGTAAACATGTTTTTAAAGTTCATTTAACACTTTTATTACCTCCCTTTTGCGTCTTATAAAACTTCCTTCGTTTTTCTTTCTTTATTTTGATTCATTGTGCGTCTACCTCAAAGTAATAATAAAGCAGAAAAAGGCAACACTTGCTTGTATTGTATACTTGATCATCTCATGATGCCTTATTGCAGTAATTCTACGCTAAGCTAAAGTAAACCTAGGAATGAAATATCGAACTAATTTCTTGGTACCCAATATAGACAAAAGAAACATTATCATTTTCAAAGGGACTGTTTAATTTCCACAGAACAAAATAAACCAAGAACTGATGTAATTCTAATTATTGAGTTGACCAAAAAGTATTGACTGATTTAGGAAGCAGAAAGAAAACAATTTTATGAAGCAACACTTACATTTGTTCTTCAATATAAAGTCCATTATTCTCGACGTTCATCTGCCAGCGATCAGCCAGCATCCGAATCTGTCCCAGACCAGTCCACCAAAACTGTAAAGAAGCTGCCTTCAAAAATGATGAATCGCTTGGTGGCGGAGGAAGTGTGTCATCGAGCGGAATAGGCCACAATCACTCGGAGCGGACACAGGATTTGAACGGTGGATGTGGAAGAGTCTAAACACCGCCCATCTCTTAGAACTTCTCCTTAGTCAACCTGGCATTGTTTTGCTAAAACAAAGCCCAGCCTCGACAGAACAAAGCAGGATACTCTTTTTAGTTGGTCGTACACGCTGTCTAGCTGCTGGCAATGCAGTGTATCGTTGATGACGCGACTGTGAAACAAGCTCGAAATGCAATACTCCTTCGAAATTCCACCAGAGAGAGATAAAGATATGTTATTTCCTTTTCGCTTAGTATGTAAGTCATGAATTTCTGGCTAACCTAATATATTAATGACTTTTCTGTTAGAGTTTCCTGATATATCAGAGAAGTCAGAAGAAATCTACCGGAAAAATCTTATTGATTAAAAAAAATAGAAAAGAAACCTGTGGCAGAATCTAAAAATAGACAACAAGAAATGTTAGACAGGTAATTTCGGTCTGAACTTCTGGGATGAGTAGTTATTATTTATTGGAAAACAGGCTAATGGTTTAAAAGGTTGGTTTGTTCATTCGATTTCATATAAGGTGTGGATTCAATTCCTTGGACGGTCACGCATACTTGGACTACGTGTTAATGGGAAGAGCATTATGTAAAACGTACTAAGCGAGGCGAGATATGCCTAGACATGGTCAACGGAACGAGAAATATTTACCCCCGGTTCAGTTCGAAATTACCAGAAGTTTTCCCGGATCGACATGCACCGTCTGATATTTGGATGTCACAACAGTCAAAATATTGCGAGAATTATAGCAAGTATAAGTCTATTTATAAATAATCTAAATGCAATTAGTCCCGGTAGTAAAGGGAAGAAAGAAGAAAAGACTAATTATTAACTGTACCAAGAGAGTTATGTATTGGATATGTCATAATCCAATCTGTGACAGAAATTTGACTATCTATTCTGCTTTCTAAGAGACGACTGAAAATGTGACACACAAATCCCAAAGTAGCATTTTTTTTCTATTACTAAAGTTCAACCTATGCAAGGCTCAAGAGCGACTCAAGGCAGACGGTTAGTGAAGGACGTCGTCTAAGCGGTAAGAGGAAGGGGCCCATTTTATACGAGTATGCATGAATGATAACGGTTACCAATAGACCTAAATAGGTTAATATTGTAGTATTCAGGAAAGTATTCTACTCTGATTCTGTTCCACAAAGCAACAGTTCTTTGGAAGAAGCTAATCAAACGGAACTACTCCTTGCTAAATGAATACAAAAGAAATGAGGGTAGGTCGCCTCAAAGTAGATTGCGTGGGTGGGTAACAGGGACGTTTTGTGTTGGCGGAACTCAGGAACTTAACTCGTTTGAACTTTTTTCATTTAAATAGCGGCAGAATAGCGAAAATTCTGCAAAGCTTTATCTGTGAAGATGTTAGATGGGAAACGATTCATCACCCATAATGCCGTATCAGAATAGCGAATCAGGTCTTTCAGAATGTCAGCCAAGGATTGATAAATAGGTAAATATTGTTTAAAAAAAATTAGAAAGATTTGTTATGCAATATCTATCTCCTATATTGCAGAAGATGCTGAGCAATCACCTCACAGATAGAGAAGAAACTTGAAACGACATCGATGTGATTATGTCTACAAATGCTGTCAATATTACGTAGGAACAATTCAGCAAGGTGGACGATATAAGGAAAACAGGAGCACTACTTAGTCTGATATCGTCATTAAAGATGCAACATTGTGAGAAAGTGGACTTGGAGAATATTTTAGCCATAGTGTATCTTTGTAGAGTAAAGAGACATGGAGAAATTGCGAGTAGCTAGCTAATTTATTAAATGTTTTCGAGTCAATTTTGGAAAGAACAATGACAAAGGTGAATAGCATCATTGCAACAGTTATTTCGAAAACTAAATGAGAGAATGTGATGGAGAGTGATGATCGTTCCCATCCTGACGCGACATAGCACAGAAAACAAGTTTACAAAAAAAAGGTTTCAATAGTCCGTATAATCTTCATAATGTTATGGTCAATATATTTCCTTGTTTCCTCCATTAATACGATAAGTAAGATGTTAGTCTCGAGGAAGTTCAGTTCAGTTCACTCTGGTGTTCAAATATCGGAAACGGGTTAAGTAAATTCCTACGTTGCACTTAGGAATTTCATTTTTTTTAACACGGTCCATTTGAAATAAATATTTCTGTACGTTTCTTTGTCGTCCTCATTACAGTTTTTTGAATTTTTCCTCTTTTTTAATTATTTCCCTTCCTTTATTTTGTTACTACTTTTGCTTTCATTGTTACTTTTTACATTCTTCTTTCGGAGATTTAAACTTACTACTGCAGCGCAAATCTGTTACCTTTTAAATTCTCCCTACTGAGTTTAAAACTTACGTCTTTTGAGCACATTATTACTTTATAAATAATCCATCCTTACATTATTTACATTATTCGGACTATTGTCCTCATCTTTGTCGCCATATTTATCACAAAGTTTCGGCCGTTTTACGCTCCTGCCTTCTTCAGATGGTCGGAATTACTTCGCTCACTGGGGTAGACTGTTCTAGTGCTACTTGCCATGTTTTAATAGATATCAGTTATCTTCTGTTAATTCCTCTCTCCAAGTTCTCCACCGCCTTAATTGAACACACACTCTTCGGGTCCTGTGACGGGATCTAACAAACGCCTTTATCCACTGTGCCATTTGTCCATGGCTGAAACGTTTTGATAAATATGGCAACAAAGACGAGGACAATAGTCCGAATAATGTAAATAGTATACAGAAGACCTCATCTCAGAAATATAGACAGAAACTGAATCCCTTCTTAGTTTTAAATTTTCGACTTTCTCGCACTTTTGTTTCTTTTTCAATTCCTCGTTCTCAGTTTGAAACTTTCTACTTTTGAAACATTTATTACTTTTTTTTTACTAAAATTTAAAAAAAAAATAAAATTCTTCCTGAGATTTAAACTGATCCTAAATTGTTAAATTGTCTTTTTCAAATCTACCTTTATGATCTGATTTGTCTTTTTATATTTCTGCATGTTTATATTTTCTTATATTTTATTTTAAAGAATTTGTGAACTAGGTATTGGACATGGTGATTTTTCTAAGCGTAACGTAGATTTGTCACAAGGCCGAAAGTATATGACACCTAGTGAGGATGGAATTCAATATTCAGTCGTAATTGATCTACTGAGACAAGCTTGAAATATCAAATTACATAGACTTGATTAAGACATGGAAGCCATGTGTTTAGAGTCTCTAGATTTTGGGGGATTTTTTTTATGATAGTAATGATTTTTTTACATGTAGAAATAATTAATAAATTGCACTTCTCTAAACTTGTGGGCGCACCTGGCTACCTTTCAAAGCGCATTAGTGCACCTAGGCACACCGGTTGAAAAACGCAGAATTATATCTTTGTTTGTCTATCTTTGTTTTGATGGACCTGCCAACTGTGAATTGGAGATGTCAAAATGAAGTTAGTAGAGATTTTTTCTCTAAAAGACGACTAAAAATGCAGCATAAAATTCTTAAGAAGAATTTTTTTTATTGCTAAACTTCATCTTGTCTTGAATTTTTCTTCCTTTTTTTTAATTATCTTCCTTTGTCTTTTTCCAACTTTGCCACAAGTTTTTACACTTTAAATTCTTCCTTCTCAGTTTGGAATTGTTTTTCCCGAATAGGCTTTGATTTTTGTTTTTTTTATCTTAGTTTGTCTCCCCTTCTTTCAAAAATTTCTTAAGTTACGCATCGCCCCCTTTTTATTACCATTTCGATGTTTCCCCTAATCCTGTTTCCTTCCTCTATAATTCTTTCATCTATTCATCGCGTCATTTCAAATGATACAATTGATCTACAATTCCGAGTAAATATTTGAAGGCAATTTCCAAAATTTGTAAAAAAAATATCCATTTTGATAAAAGTATAATATTTATTTTCAGACAGAAAAAAACATTTTGCTAAACCACCATTAGGGTAAAAATTATATAAAATTGTAAAAGAACAGTTTTGATATTGATAATCGAATTGTTCATGGAATCCTTTGATGTTTTCGAATATTTTAAGACTGCTCGGCAAGCGAGGAATCTGCCTAGATTCAACAGGCGTGAGTTTGAAACTAATAATTCTGTAGAAAATTCCACATGGCAATCTTCTCAGCCAAAATCTAGGATCCTTTATTGTCTCTCGTTTACGATATGGGTGTAAGCGGAATCGTTTACCGAAAACAGATTAACTCTTACTGTATATCTTAGCAACCTTATCTCGCCATTTTTATTCATTATTAAATCGAAAATGTTCGACTTAACACATAATAGCAAAACTCCACGTCTTCTCTTTCTAATAGTTGTAGAGTAGTTTTCACAGTATTTCACTAAGTCGGTCCTAAAAAAGGTGCGACGTACAAAACGTTAGGAACTTGAAATAATAGTTAAGAACGCAGCAATCTAGTTGTGGTGGTTGATACTTTAATTTCCGACATCGACTGACTCACCAACTCACTGAGCCTACTGGCGACTGCTACTACTACTTATTATCTGTGGGAGAGTCTATTTACAATAGAATAGGTATATTCTAGTATAACACTGATATCCCAAGATAACGAAGTTTTATGATTCTTTTTCTACAGCTTATCAACCATTTGCTGGTTATTTAAAGACAGAAAATATTTTTAGATTGCAAGTCTTTGGCGATAATAATGATTTGGTGAAACAAGCCTTAATAATTATCTCATTGATGTGGGGAGAGAATTTGTATTGGGTTAGTGCATAATTTTCACGCGTTTTTGTAGGCGAATTATTTGTTAATTTTGCCGTTTTCTTTACATTTTAATAAAAACATTATTTTTAGTTTATAAAAATGCGTGTTGATAATAATACTCATTTAAAAAATGTTTTTGTTAAATTGTAACTTTTTTCAAAATAAATATTGTTCCAAAAACCACTGATAATTATGCATCAACACAATATTTGCGCGCATGTAAATAGAACGAATCCAACTGGAATTAGAACTCTGCTCACCGATTAACAATTCGAGCCATTACCCATTAGACCACCCGCACATCTCACCCATCTAAGTGCTGACCAGGTTCGATGTTCCTTTACTTCGGTGATCGTACGCGGTGTTTCAACGTGATGCGGTCGTAAGCTTGAAGTTTAATAGAAAACGCAAACAAAAAGGACACATACTTAGTCTCCGAAACAGAGAGTTGAAATCTCGAGGGCACATAACGAAGGCTTGGGAAAATTGATACTCACATGACATTTTGAAAGTGGGACAGATGGAATCGGGGCCTCACTTGAGTAACGATCCTGCGTAAATGGTTAGCACAATAGTGATCAGGATATATAACAAAAAAAACTAACATTTACTTGTGGAGAGCCATGATCGATCACTTTCTGAAAGGAGACGACACAAAGAAAACGCTCAGGAATTAATAGTGTGTCAAATCGTTCGTCTTTTAATCATAACTTGGTCAAATTTATAATTTTGAGAAATGATCATTGGTAACTCTAAGAGCAGAAAGTGAAAACGCGTATAAGGGAGGTAGTGCAATTGGCATTGAATCTCGCCAAATACTATATTCTTCCATCCATGTTAAAATATCGAAGACCTTTATATATCACGATCTTTTCTTTTTTAATATGTTCAAGTTGTATCACGATCTATGTTTTAGCATACCTACAGAGGATAATGGATATGTCCACATTCACATAAATCCAGTAGTAAATACTATATGTTGGTCTGCAGTTGGAGGATTCGCCTCCAGCTGTGCTGGTCAAACTTTCTACCTCCGGTCAAAGGACAGAGTCTCGTCTCGAGAAACAGCTACCCGACCACGTTTTATACGAGGTCTACGGGGAATTTTGGGCGGAGCTTACGAGCTTGGTTACCCTACATTAAATTCGGCCTTGTGCCACATCTGATCTTTTGGGGAGGTTGGTAGATATCTTGCAGTTGGAGATTCATTGTGGAATTCACTTGACTCACTTCTAGCAGTTGACTACTACTTCTACGCGCCGCTGGCGAATCTTATATGTGTTGTTCTTGTCCTAAGTATTATCGTTCATTACCAACCTTCGTGTGATTACACTATTCAGTAACATTCCCTAGATTACAACAATCTTCTAGGATATATTATCGGCAGGCACAAACATAACAGTTAAAGACATGCGTATGGCACTCTGCTGACAGGGAGAGTCAGTTTAATAATCGTAAGATTAACAGTTTCCTTATAAGGAAACATTCGGAATTCATTGCTCGTGCAGATTGTGCGATTGGCGGTTAAAATTTGAAGAAAATAGTTTTATCATGTTCCTTAATTATGATAGCACATTCCCGTATGTATTGGCGGCTTCCTTCTTAGCCTTTTGTTTGAATTAGTGTGGAACATCAACATTTCCATTCTGTCATTTTCTTCTCTTCGATTTATACGTTATCCATTTTAGTTCTTACATGTCTTCCAGTGAAGTTATTTGCTCCATTTCTTTGATTGTGATTCTGTAGTGCCAACCCACAAGATTCGAAGAAGTATGATCCCCACTAAAACCTACAGGATTCATTCGACCGAAATCATTTTCAATCATTGATATGCGGTTGTATACAGTTGATAGTTTAGGTATTGTTGAATGTGTTTGACGCCATACATGACACCCATATGAATTTATCAATATGATGAACCCATTTAAAATCACAGATTTTTATGTTACTGTTATGCAGTCAGACTCACCATACTTCCTGTCCACTCCTGCAACTGTGACAATGGACTAATCCTACTTATAGGGCCTGTAGCCATATTAGAGTGAGATTAGAATGGATATACTCAAGTTTTTGTCTGCTCTGTGTATGAGTATTTAATAAACGTCTTCATTGTTTTCCCTAACAAATCTTCTCTTTCTTCGTTATTTTATCTCTCCCCTCCTCCCTCTCTCTGGCCTTCCTAATTATTGAGTATTTTAAACAAAGACAACATTCTAACATTTAATTTCATTATCTCTTATACTAAATATATAACTGATCCACACATGGAGCTATTTCAATTATTTATTATTTTGGGAAACTTAAAACTGCTAGATACTATAGTTTAAGAAAGCAAGAAGAAAGGACTAACTATTCAGTTTAAGAATGTAAGGCATTCCAAGGGAAAATAACGTAGTGAGGGCGTCAAAATAAACATGGTAAATAAATCAAGCCCTTCATTTTATTAAAATACGACGGAAAATATGACACGTCTTTTTCATTATAAATATTTTAGTAGTAAATCTCTCAAGTGGCTCTCGAGCAATGAATTATTTGAACATCTATATAAAATAAATTCGAAGTGGCTTTTCGATAGCGAAAACAGATTCGAGGATATAAAGTATTAAAAGATACGTAGATTTCTTTAGAAATAAGAAAAAGTATGTAGAAATTCTATGTAACATCTGATTCCATATCAGCCAGTGAATGTTTAGAAATCTTGCCAGATAAAAAAAAGATGTGGTTCTGCTGGTGAATCGTGGAATTTTCTTCCGGTTTCTTGCTTTCTTATCAAACACGAACCTTAAAAAATTTAAATGCAACGTCGTTCGTCATCTGCTGTCTCCTGAGACCATGTACTCTTATTGTCCACATTGTCATTTGTCTTGCTTTTTAGTGGCTTTTATCAACTTGGCTGGCGTGAAATCTTTAATAAAAAGAATACTTAATGTACTGTAGAGCGAAAATTTAAGTAACGTGGATGTTTTAGGGAAAAATGAGAATACCAAGGAAACCTACGCAAAACACACATTGGAAAATTCTTGAAACATATAAGGAAAGAATACAAGGAAAATGTAAAACTTACAGAATAGATATAAAATAGGAAACTACGTGTGAATTGAAGAATTTGTGATTGGATAGTAAAAAAAACATTTATACAGAGCATGAAAGGACAGGAAATCTGAAGGAGCGAGAACTGTCCATGAATTTGAATGCATTGCGTATAAAAAAAAATGCACCTCTCTTTTCAGTACGTGGGTAATGATAGTCTTACTGCATCTTTTTATCCCCAAGAAAATATGTCTGTTTAGACTCGAACCACCGCAAACTATCCTCCCAGGCAGTATGTCTCCTTTAGGGATGGATTGGGGTCATGACATAGCGTTTGAGGTTTCCCTAATAGGTAAAGTACCAAAGAGGCTTAAGCGATTTTTACACCGCTGCCGAAGCTGAACGTGTCAAATCCTCTGTGGGTATGACCATACATATATCCGTCCCCATTATTTTGGCGATATTTTTCTTGTATATACCAAAGCATCGGTCATGTTTGGAGACTTTTTCTTTAGACAATAATCCTTCAATAGTAAGATCACAAATGCCTCATACGTTTTTATTTTTCTTCTAAATAAACGGAACTTAGTAAATATCACTTTGGCGACCATATTGTTCTTTTAATTTTCTGATTTTTTTTTCTTTGACAATTACAAAGAGATAAAAGAGTGATTGAAATATTAACAGATGTTCGTTTTCGGTAAGTTCGGCAAGATTGCAATATTTGGTTGGCGAACTGTTTTACTGATGAAATGCAATCTTAATTGATTTTATATACTCAATAATAAGATGAGCAAACTAGATTCTTTCGGAAATTTCTTTGCTCCCATTTTATTTCATTACTACGTTCTTGGTTTAACATCTTTCTTTCAATATCTCTTGATTTCTAGATAACAGTTTCTACTTATGTCTCAGACTTGAACTTTGTATTTTTCACTCCAACTCTCTTTTCATTTTTCTCTGTTTTATAGCTGCATTTCTGTCAGTTTTTCATTCGTTCTTTCCGTCTATTTGTCTTTCATTCTTTCGTTCCACCTATTTGTCTTTCTTTCGTTTGTTCCGTCTGTCTTTCTTTCGTTTGTTCCGTCTGTCTGTCTGTCTTTCGTTCGTTCCATCTGTTTGTCTGTCTTTCGTTAGTTCGGTCTGTCTGCCATTCTTTCGTTTGTTCCGTCTGTCTGTCTGTCTGTCTTTCTTTCTTTCGTTTGTTCCGTCTGTCTGTCTGTCTGTCTTTCGTTCGTTATGTCTGCCTGTCTTTCTTTCATTTGTTACGTCTGTCTTTCTTTCGTTCGTTACGTCTGTCTGTCTGTCTTTCTTTCATTTGTTACGTCTGTCTTTCTTTCATTCGTTACGTCGTCTGTCTGTCTTTCTTTCGTTCGTTCCATCTGTCTGTCTTTCTTTCTTTCATTCTTTACCACTGTCTTTCTTTCTTTCGCTCTGTCAATCTTTCTCTCTTTCCTTCTTTCGTTCTATCAATCTTTCTCTCTTCCGTTCCTTCTTTCTTTCCTTTCCTACTCTCTTTCTTCCATTCTTTCTGATTGTCTTCCTTTCGTTCTCTCAGTCTTTCTTTCGTTCCATCTTTGTTCGTTTCGTTGCGTCTTTATTTCGTTCTCTCTCTCGTTCTGTCTGTCTTTCATTCTCGCTTTTTTTCTTTCTTTCTCTCTTTCTTTTGTTCTTTCTCTCTTTATGCCTTTCTTCCTTTCTTTTTTTTTATATATTCCTCCTCCGCCTTTCGTTATATTTTTATTTCTTTCTACGTTCCACTTTTTTTCTCTGTCTCTTTTCCCCATTTTGCCATCGTAGCATTTGTCTATGAAATCTCCCGGGCGGTAAATACTGGCGTCCCCCGCGGTTCGAGCTTATTTTCATAAGTTTACAGTGTCCCTTCAAGCACATCGGCAATGCAGCAAATCTTCTCTTTGAATACATGAATAAATATGTATATTTACAATAAGAAAAAAAAACAGTTTGATAATACAAAATAATTCTTTCAGTGTAAATTTGCTGTGAGACGAAATATTTTACGTCATTCTTCTTTGTTTAACGAGTTTCTGCTATGTTTCTTTATGGACTTTTTATGCTGTCAATTTTTTCGCATTCTGTTTTAAAAGTCAGTTTCGTTTTTAAATATCTTCTCCAAACTACTGACAGCAATTTATAGTTGTAAAAATGTTTTACATTCTGAATAAAAAGAATATACCGTTGATCGTTTTTCTTATATGTGTCGTTCCCCTTCAGAATGTAAAAGATTATGGTTCTCCACAACTACCTCTCTTCGTTACGTAGTTTATTTGCTTCGTTTCCCTGCCCTCTTGCTTTCAATATGTACAGTGAGAGTGAAATTCTCCAACCCCTTTCCTCATTATATGTCCTAGAACGGTAAACTCTTTTTATGATTCAAAGAAGAATCGTTTTTTCGTTTCCGTTTTCTTCAAATCTTCCTCGTTAATTAGAATAGCATTCTTAGGATCCTACTGTAGAGCAGATTTATGTTTTTTTTTAATATTCCTCTTCGTCTATGAAAAGGCTGTCAAGTATTCACAGTCATATAGTAGTAACCATATTACAAAAATAGTCCAGTACGCTTTGTTTATAACAAAACTTAATTTTTCTGACTACACGACTTTTGCAAGACGTTTATGCCTATTTCAGTAGAACTTCGGATTTTGTTATCACATTTTCTTCCTTTGTTAAAACACATCCTTGCTTCAAAGAAGAAATATATTCAATGAATTTTGACATTATAAATATTTCCTCATTTGCGATGTTTATAAAACATGAATCTACTTATTTTATTTAAATTGGAATTTAATGTGTCACAAACGAATGTGTCTCAATCTTGTATGTTGATGTATGAATTTAACTGATTTCGAAACTTTGCCAGATCGGATCTATATATGATCCCCAGGAATTTTTTTCTGTCTACCACCACGATGGTTGATGCTGAACTCAAAGAGAATGACACTTTACACCTTCTTGTCTTTTCGTTTCCCAATGATATGAACTGGAGAGATTATATCGAATTAATTACTAGGTCTGTTGCAAGAATATTTGGTTCACTGTGCTGTGTCAAAAAGAATCCATCTTGCCCATTTATAAATAATTCTTCCGTGTATTGAATACTGTTGAAATATCTCGTCTGCAGCTCCTTCTGTGCACCTCGAGATTCTTGAAAAAAATCCAGAGAAGGGTCTGCAATAAAATCGTTCCCAACCAAGCATCTCGACTTCAGTCACTTTCTCACCGACGTGACGTGGCTTCCTTCGACCTGTCCTGCAAATATTTTCATGGAAAATACTCGGACGGCTTCGACGATATGGATGTAAATGCGCTACTTGGTAATTAGGTCTCCCCGTTTTAATGTTGAATTTACTGGATGCAACCGTCATTTCTACTCTGAGAGTTTTTTTGGGGGGGAGGGGGGTCACAATTTCCACCTGTGGAAATCTCGTCCGATTTCTTGCTTCCCTGATGAGTACAATCTTCAAATATTTAAATGCAAATTTAATCGCCATTTTTGTCGTCTTGATACCTTTTTCCTTTGTAGCCCTATCCTCAATCTTCTCATTCTCTTTAACTTTTTCTCCTTGTAACCACCGGCATTCTAGTGACACCGTCACCTTGCTTAGAGTGAAATGATTAAAAAACACGCAACTGAGTGGTCTCAGAAAGAGCAAATCATTTTGCAATTATTACTCCTGCGTATGAAATAGCAATCACGCCCGGCAATTTAGATTTTGATCTATTCCCGCGTACCCAAATTTATTACGGTACCTCCGTTTATTTCGTCGCTAACCACAACAACAGATCACGTATAGTTCTTAGCAGTTATTCTTCCTTTGCTAAGGCTCCCGCCCTCCGTTCTCCCATCTATTTGCACGTCATATCATTGGCTCTCTGCCCTTCCTCTATCTCTCTCTTGCTTTCGATATGTACTGCGAGTGTTAAGATTCGCAACCAATCTCTCTTCATTATGAACCGGTCACGGGTAAGATTAACTAGGTTTAAATTAGTCAGAGACGACCCACCCACTTGTCCTTTCGGACATGTGCGAAAAAATTGTATTTTTGTACAATAAATATACACTTCTTCCTCATTATGTGTACATGTAATTTCAGCTGTCTCTTCCTGAGTATGGCATTCAATTTATTATCTCGTTTCTTAAGACTTCCTCATTGCTTACTTGCTCCGTCCATGGAACTCTCAGTATCCGTGTAATGAGCCCTGTTTCTGGTAGCGTCTGTTTTCTTCTCATCCATGAGGAAATTGTTCGGTATTCTATTGCCATATAAGTAGATAGATATCATATATACAAAATAAAACCTACCTCCAACACGATTACATAACGATATATATGCTATATTAAAACACGCCAAAACTTGATTTCCTGTCCAATAACAGACAATATTACAAGTAGCCAAAATGATTCCATAACACAACACACACTGTTTAAGTAAGTCATAGGTAAACTACAGCACGATTGGCTTTCTGAATGGCACGCATAATTTCTCGAGGAAAAGAATGTTTATTAAAATGATGTTTCTTTTCGTTCTCATTTAGTAACAGACAGTCTCAGACATAACTACATACATAAACAATGATACAGTCCAACGTTTCTTGAGTTTTGTCATTTTTCGTTTAGAGTAACTTTGTCAGAATTTGAAACCACTAGAGATTTTCACTAAGGAAGATCATACGAGTAAACAGCCTTTCCTTCAAAAACAGTAAAAATCAATATTTTTTCTCAAGAGAATAAATATACGCTTTCATTTACAAATATTTTTTTTGTATCGTCAAATGAATAAATTAACAACAGATCACATGCAGTAGCGTGTTTATTAATCACTATGTCATCACTGTTGATATTATACCAAAGCGTTAGTTATTTTTAATTATGGAAGGAGTCTCTTCTCAACAAAAAATCGACTTTTCAGCAGTTCTAAGACTGATACTAACGCGCAGGGTTTTCTGTTAGGAGAATGGTTGCAGTATATTTATTGAAAAATTACCTTCATTCGTAGTGTTGCCCGCATTGGGATGCGCTGTATCTCATGTTGCAAACTGGTCAAGAAAAGTTGTCCATGCCTGGTTTAACTCGGTGTCTATTGGTTAAATATTAACATCACCATGTGAAATATTTGATCAATCATAGAAAATTAAAACCCTATTTTTCTCAAGCCTACATTCCGGGGGAAAAATATTTTATAAAACCCCACATATTTTTAATGTCAGGTAGCGATTAGAATACAAACGTACCACATTTTGTAAGAAAATGTGTCCGGCATTTGAAACGAACCATCTGCAACAACAACAAAAGTATGAACACTCAGTAGGCGACTTCAAAATACTATCTTCGACGCCAACAAAGACGGCCCGTGAATCTTCGCTAATGATAAAAGCCTTTTCTGAAATACAGATTTTTACAGTGGGACCCACCTTAAGTCTTCTGTAAATTCTTTTTTTCTCTTCCCGTTTCCTATTTTCTTTTTTTCATTTCTTTTTTTCTCTTCTTTGTCATTTCTTTTTTCTTTTCTCTTGTCATTTCTTTTTTTTTCTCTTGTCTTTTCTTTTTTTTTTTCTTCTCTTTTCATTTCTTTTTTTTTCTTCTCTTTTTCTTTTCTTTTTTTTTTTTTCTTTCATTTCTTTTTTTTTCTCTTTCTTGTCATTTCTTTTTTTCTCTTCTCTTGTCATTTCTTTTTTCTTTTTTTTTCTAAGAAACATTTTTTCTCTTTTTGTCATTTCTTTTTTTTTTCTTTTCTCTTGTCATTTCTTTTTTTCTCTTCTCTTTCAGATTTCTTTTTTTTTTTGTCATTTTCTTTTTTTTTCTCTTCTCTTTTTCTTTCTTTTTTTCTCTTCTCTTTCATTTCTTTTTTTCTTTTCTCTTTCATTTCTTTTTCTCTTCTCTTGTCATTTCTTTTTTTTTTCTCTTCTCTTTGTCATTTTTTTTTTTTCTTCTTTTTGTCATTTCTTTTTTTCTCTTCTTATGTCATTTCTTTTTTTCTCAGTTTTTTTTTCTTCTCTTTTTTCTTTTTTTTCTCTTCTCTTGTCATTTCTTTTTTTTTTTCTCTTGTCATTTCTTTTTTTTTCTTTCTCTTGTCATTTCTTTTTTTTTTTCTCTTGTCAACTTTTTTTCTTTCTCTTCAAAATTCTTTTTTTTCTTTCTTGTTTTTTTTTTTTCTTCTTTGTCATTTCTTTTTTTTCTCTTCTCTTGTTACATTTCTTTTTTTTTTCCTTCTCTTTCATTTTTTTTTCTTTTTTTTTTTTCTTCATTTTCTCAAAGGTCTTATTCTTATAATCTGTCACCTGTTTTTCTAATTAAAAGCTTTCAAAAACAGATAGAAATGACATAAGTAGAACTGTTTGAAAAATTCTTACAGTTGCTCTTATATGTTATTTCTTGCCAAATATTCTGAATATTTTTTGTGTTTTTTTTTTCTTTTCAAAATCAAAATCTCTCTTTAAATTTCCTCTAAAACCATCAAGAATCAGAAAATCCTCGATATTTCTTTTAAATTATTGTCTTTTCTCTTTATCTTCA